GTTTAACCTCGCACCAGTACAAAGAAGTAATGATTCCATCAGCAGCCTAACAGATGGCAGGCACGAAATGGCTCTAACCTTCTCTGAGAATGCTGGAGAATAGCTCCGTGGAGTTTAATTTAACAGGATAGTGGCTGCTATTTTCTTTCTGCTGCCTCTTGCTCAGCATGCTACATCTTAAGGTGTGGCAGTGCATTTACTCAGGTTAACCCTTAAAGACCATCAAGGGTCTGGAGTTACTATGGGATCCTTTTTCTGCATGGGATTTTGTTCCAACAAGTGTAACTTAAACTTTTGATCATAACAAAATGGGCTGTGCATGGAGGAGTATTTTTAGAATCTCTTTTCTTCTATTAGCATTAAAGAGGCACTGGAGCGCTTTTTTCTAGGACAGTGAATTGTACTTTTCTGAAGGACTTGAGGTAAAACACAAGAAGAGATCTTTTGCCTCAAACTTCCTTCTAGAGTAAGCTTCCTAAGGGTTACTACTGATAAGAGAAAACCATGACTCTGACTCTGGTAGGAATCACTGTCCATGGCTCAGGATCACCTTGGGAGCTATATGCAGTCTTGATGCTGGGGTCTGCATCAGGCCAGCAACCCTAACCAATAAACCAGAAAGAATCTCTGAGTGTGGGATCCAAGCATCAATGTTTTTTTAAAGTTCCCCAGATTTTATAAATTGGCAGCTAAGGTATAAAACAAATACTGCATTTAAAACTTTGAAGACTGCATTTCAAAATTCTATCAGTTAAGTTTCTTTGAGTTAACTTCTATTCTGAGTCCCTACCACTCTGGCTTTGCCACTCTTAGGGCTCTCCCTTTCCACCTTCCTCATTCTTTCCAAGGCTTGTGTTGAGGTTCTGGAGCTTGCAGGTCTAGTCCACACAAGTCAGCATGCTACCCTCCTAACCTGAGACATCAGGGAAACACTGTGCTGATACTGCAGCCTGAATTCAAGGATGTCCTCAGACCAAGCTATAACCATCAGAACAGCTTGAAGGTAAAAGACATTCATACCTGCATGTCCTGTGCCCTGCAAATTATGTATTGCAAAGCTCCTACCTGACTCAGATGAGGTGGTCTCATGCAGTCAGCTCCACTCTTCTGTATATAAGGCTGGGCTAGAGAGAAGCTGTTATCTTACCAAAGGTATAACATGCCATTCACTCACTCGGACATTATCATTTACAACTGTGCATTTGCTGGTGAGCTTTGGGGCCACCAACCTATGCATTTGTGCTGATCTCTCCACTGTGCATCCTATGCTAATTTTTCTCCTGCATCCCTTTAAATAAGTAATCATTGTTTGATACACCCAAGATGTAACTGTGTCTGGTCTTATCATCAATTGGTCCCCACTACTGCCATCTGTCAGTGCAAGGAATCTTATGAAAATTCATGGAAAATGCATATTACAAAACCTATGCATGAGTTTCCATTTTTTTTTAACCAAAATAAACTCATACTAAGTTGTTATAATATGTCTAAACAGGATCTAGTGTGAGGCACTAAGAAAGCTAAAACATTAGTTCAAAAGGAGCCCCTGCCAGAACAACATAAATTCTGCTAAGATTAAAGCAAAAACATCAAATTTATGGTGAAGCTTGGGATGAATGATGAAATCACTGATGCCTTACAAAAGTTTTTGGGGACAATGCTGCAAAGAAGTCAGCAGTTCACAAATGGGTAGCTCATTTTAGGAAGGGACCAGATGGTGCTGAAGATGAACCCTACAGCAGCAGGCCATCCACATCAATTTTTAAGAAAAAAATTAATCTTGTTTGTGCCCCCAATTGAAGAGGACTGACAATTAGGAGAAGCAATAACCAACACCATAGACATCTCAATTGGTTTAGCTTATACAATTCTGACTGAAAAATTAATGCTGAGCAAACTCTCTACTCAATGAGTGCCAAAACCATTGCACCCAGATCAGGTGCAGACAAGAGTGGAGCTTTCCGTGAAATTTTAAATTTCAAGATCAAGATCCTGAAGCATTTCCTCAAAGAATTGCACAAAGATATGAAACACGGCCTTATCAGTACAATCCTGAAGACAAAGCACAATCATATAAATGGCTACCAAGAGGTAGAAGTGGTCCAGTCAAAGCACAAGCAGACTGGGTTTGAAGCAAAGGTCATGGAAAGCATGTTTTGGAATGCTTAGGGCATTTTGCTTCTTGACTTTCTGGAGGGCCAAACAACAATATTTGCAGTATTTTGAAGGTATTTTGAGAAAGTTAGCCAAAGCTTTAGCAGAAAGACACCCAGGAAAGCTTCATCAGAGGCCTTCTCCACAATAAAGCTCCTGCTCATTCCTCTCATCAGACAAAGACAATTTTGTGAGAGTTTTCGTGGGAAATCATTAGGTATTCGCTTTACCGTCCTGACTTGGATCATTCTGACTTCTTTTTGTTTTCTAATCTTAAACCTTTAAAGGCAATCAATTTTTTTTCAGGTAATAATGTAAAAAAGACTACACTGACATGGTTAAATTCCCAAGACCCTCAGTTCTTTAGGGATGGACTAAATGGCTGGTATCATTGCTTTAAAAAAGAGTCTTGAACTTGATAGAACTTATTTTGAGAAATAAAGTTTATATTTTTATCTTTTAATACCATTTTTCTATGAAGTTTTTAAAGCCCCCTTATAAATTGATATAAGCCTTCTAGTGATGCACTGGATGAAATCAAAAGAGAAAACAAATCCTGTCTTTCTCCTGCACACATCAGATGCTCAGTAAATGCTGGCTGAACTTAGGACTCTACCCCTAATGCAAGCCCACAATACCTGGGCTCTAGCAAAGGGCGGGCACTAACAGGGCATGGACAAGGCATTCTGGTAACAAGACACGGAAACCCACCCAAACACATTCACGTAAAAAGGGGACAAATGAAAGGACAAATATGAGTCTCATGGAAACAAAGTTGAGAAAACAAAGCTGAGCCTCACAGGCCAAAAAAAAGGTCCTCTCTCTCTCCTTTACCCTTTGGGAACACCTAGCTTCATTCTGTTTGTCCATGTTGGGCTTTATTACTTCTCCCTCTGCAGATCCTGGTCCTTTGCTCCATTAGCACATGGCCCACCCAGGTCACTCAATAACAGTGGCCTCTGCTTATTTCAGGGAGAAACTTTAATGTCTCACCTTGAGGAAAGGCAGGGAGCTAACATCATGTGATCGGGATAACACTCTCAACTGGGGCAGCTGAAAAGGACTAGGATTATTATTACAAACGATAACCACAAGCTTGGCTGAGAGATGGGATAACCCCCCCAAATTAGAATGCACACATATATATTAGGTGTAACATAACTTTATTTCAGAATGACTGCAGGAAGGAATTTCATAGGTAAACAACTAATTTATAGCTCTCTATCACAATAACACTGAATCAAGAACACTTCATCCTATACAAAAACTTGGCCTGAGAATTTTTTGAGTTTTAATTGTCTTAAGTTTCACATTATAGAACTGTATACACAAAAACACTAACACAACTGGGAAAGATGACATATAGATCAAGACAAATTATTTCTAGCAATTTCTCACTTGCCATGAAATCACAAATATGACAACTGCAGTTGATAAGGAAGTAAGTTAGAAGGGAGCTAAGCCACTAAAATAATGTCACCAAGTCAATGCAGCAAAGTATATTCATTTTAATTGCTAGAACAGCCTATCAAAACCTCATTCAAATCCTCTCTACTCTTACTCAACATATAGTATGCAGTTACACAATTTCGCAACCCAAGGGTAAATTAAAGAAAGGTTCCTAGAGGTAGGCTCAGGAATGGGAGAGCTAAATGACAGAAAAAAAGTGAGGGAAACAAAAAACTCTAAAAACATGGTAGAATTCAAAGAGCAAACACATCTGGAGCCTTCAGCGTAGGAACTTTAACAAAACTAAGACCTGAAAGAATTAAAAACGTATATGATGACTCTGAAAAGATTTAATTATCACCTGTAGACTGTGTTTGCAAAAGCAGAGAAATGTATTCTAAATTAAGAAATAGTTTGATGCAAACGGTTGAAATAAAGCAAAAAAAAAAAAAAGATGTGCACTTTAAAAGAATACCTGGAGTTTTCTATACTATGTGCCCCACAATGTCTGATAAAGGAATATTAGTACATATATCGTGCTTATAAAATATAGAAAGTAGTTCATACAAAAAGAATATAGCACCTTTTTCATCATATATGACTGAAACTATAAAAACCCCTTCCTGGTAAAAGCACCTCAATCATATAGGGATAGTTCAAGTCAGCTTCTTTCTGCATAAGAACTTTTACTGTGTCCTGAGTGATCCACTGAAATTCCATGAATCAGAATTGCTGGGAGAAGAGCCTGAGAACCTGATTGAGAATCACAAGGCAAATCATCACCTTGAAGTCAGGAGGAGGCTGGCCAGGTCTGTGAATTAACCCTTTTCCACTCTTGTTTCTAATGTGCCCAATAAGGCAGTACTCCTGGTTTTGACATTTCTTAAGCTACACAGTACAGAATAAAAAACATGGACTTCTAAATGTTTCATCACAAAACATATAATTTAAAAAAATTTAACAAGTCCTAATGAATTCCAAAGAAAGAACAGACACAGGCTCACGCCTCTAATCCCAGTAATTGCGGAGGCAGAGGCAGGAGGATTATTTGTGGCCAGAAGCTATACTAATGGCAGTGACAAATTACTTATAGATAGAGATAAAAATCTCCTGATTTCTGAGAATCTTAAACATTGCTATAAAGCTTAGCTTCAATGTTGGTCTGGTACATCCCTGTTTGTTCCAGTCCACTCATGAATCAGGTACTAGTTTCAACGCCCTTATTAGCTCCAGAATCCCCTCACAAATCTTATGAACAACGGTGCTGATAACATAAGGGCACAAGCACCCTCTCCAGGCCTTTATCCTGTCCTTAGCTGCTCTGACAGCATAACCAGACAATCAGCAGAACACCCTGAGGAAGGGCACACATCATCTTGCACGGGTTTTTTCCTTTATTTGTAAAATTGTAAAGAGATTGTGTCATAAAAATCCAGGCAGAAGGTCTCAATTCCCTGAGTCCCACTATTCGAAGCAGGCTCCCAGAGGAGGGTATCATTTTATGTCCTGGCAAGAAGGTCTCCTCTTCTTGAAGCTGCCGACACTGTATCCTCAAACCTGTATTCCAGGAACTGTGTCTGATGTGTTGTGGCCAAGAAGTGAATCCCCATCCCCCCCTCCAAAAAAAAAAAAAAAGTAGACACCGATACAGCTCTCCTGCAAGAGAAAGCAAACAGGCTTTATCACCTCATAAACATGTCTCACCAATCAATAATTATTTGCCCTCTTTTCTGAAGCAACTCTTCAGAGTCCACTTGAATTCTATCACTATGGATAATTCTTGAGATTGCATTTCTCCCTCCTAATGATCTTCGAACGAGGCAAGCACCTCATTTTATTAAGTCCAACTACCCAAAGGAGCTGGTTCAGAGAGGAGTTAAGATATAGCTAAAATTGAGGTCTAAATCATTCTACTATGATAGACCTCTGCTACATTATCAAATCGCACCAAGCCTGATCTCCCAACTGCCAGTGGCAAGAACAAACAGATGTCAGGGTTATTTGTTTTATTCAAAAATGACAGGAAACCAAAAATCTATCAAATGGATGTGTCAACAGCAATGCCACAAGCATATTGGTTAGTGAGATTTATGTGTCTCCATTTTGGCTCATGACAAAAATCACCTTCTAAGCTTTCTAATTTTCAAATGCCCACTTGAACATACAGGTCAAAGAGTTCTATGAAGTATCTTTAATGTTAGGTACAACAGAGAGGGGATCCAAGATGGCTGAATAGATACAACTCCAGTGCACAACACCCAATGAGAGTGATGCAGAAATCCAGAGATCTCCTAGCTCCAACTGAGGTACCAGGTGCATTTCAAAGGGTTTGGTCCAATGGTGAGCAAAGCCCACTCAGGGCAGACCGAGGTGGGGAGGGGTGCTACTTCACCCAGAAAGTGCATCTGACTAGCAAGTCGAAGTCCCCCACTCTGGCACTCTGGTCCAGATACAGCGCTTCCCTCAAAGCCTCAGCAATACACAGAACAGGGGATCTTTGCCAGTCACGCTCCAGGAATTACAAGCATGGAGTTTAATCATAATACAGGACAGTGTCCCAGATTGGCTCACAGATACATAAGCCCAAAAGGCAGCCAGGAGAACCTTCAGACTGAGCTATTACCCCCTCCCCTGCCCGGAGAGAGGGAGAGCTGTAATCAGGAGCATCTGGGTGGGCCTCTACCCCTTGACTGGAGAGAGAGGAAGCTGAAAGTGGGAGATGGCCTAGTGCTGCTGGGCGGGTCCCTACCCTCCCCCTCAAACCCCAGAAGGCTGAAGCTCTGATTCTAGCGGGTTACACAGCCAGTGCCACGGTCGGAGCTGAACCCTGAATGATCCAGCCCAGTGGAGGAAGGGCACAACCCACCAGCAGAGGTGTGGGAACTGGGCTACATGTTTTAACAAAAAACACAGGAAGCCTAAGTAGCAATGGGACGGTTTTCTTGACAACCCAGCAGCGCCTACAGGTCAGCGGAAGAGGTGGGTCTAATCTCCCAGTATAAACAAAAAAGACACAGGAAGCTTCCCTAATAACCTGAAGGAGTCCCTAGAAACCCAGTAGCACCTCCACAGGCAGACAAGTGACCTCATCAAGCAGCTCCCTGATAACACAGCCAGGTAAACCCAAAAAGATGGGAAAATAACAGCGCAAAAAAGATGAAACCATCAAAGACCAGAATGCCTCTTCTCCTTCAAGGGATCAAAACTCCTCAACAACACAGGATCACATCATGACTGAGAAGCAGTGTGACGAACTGACAGAAACAGGCTTCAGAAGGTGGATAATAACAAACTTTTCTGAGCTAAAGGAACATGTTCTAACTCAATGTAAAGAAACCAAAAACCTTGAAAAAAGGTTAGACGAAATGCTAATTAGAATAACCAGCTTAGAGAAAAGTATAAACGACTTGATGGAGTTGAAAAACACAGCACGAGAACTACATGAAGCAAACAAGTTTTAATAGCTGAATCGATCAAGCAGAAGAAAGGATATCAGAGATTGAAGATCAACTCAGTGAAATAAAAAGAGAAGGCAAGACAAGAGAAAAAAGAGTGAAAAGAAATGAACAAAGCCTCCAAGAAATATGGAATTATGTGAAAAAACCTAATCTACGCTTGATCTGTGTACCTGAATATGATGGGGAGAATGAATCCAAGCTGGAAAACATGCTTCAGGATATTATCCAGGAGAACTTCTCAAGACTAGCAAGGCAGTCCAAATTTCAAATTCAAGAAATACAGCAAGCTCCACAAAGATATTCCTCAAACAGAGCAACCCCAAGGCACATAATCATCAGATTCACCAGGGTTGAAATGAAGGAAAAAATGCTAAGGGCAGCCAGAGAGAAAGGTCAGGTCACCCACAGAGGGAAGCCAATCAGACTCACAGTGGATCTCTCGGCAGAAACCCTACAAGCCAGAAGAAGAGAGTGGGGGCCAATATTCAACATCCTTAAAGAAAATAACTTTCAACCCAGAATCTCACATCCAGCCAAACTAAGCTTCGTAAGTGAAGGAGAAATAAAATCCTTTACAGACAATTACTGAGAGATTTTGTCACCACCAGACCTGCCCTATAAGAGCTCCTGAAAGAAACACTAAGGACAGAAAGGAATAAGTACCAATCACTGCGAAAGTAAACCAGCTTGCAAAGACCAAAAATGCAATGAAGAAAATGAGTCAACTAATGGAAAAGAAAACCAGCCAGTAACAAAATGGCAGGATCAAATTCACACTTAACAATAGTAACATTGAATGTAAATGGCCTAAATGCCCCAAAAGACACAGACTAGCAAACTGGATAAAAAGTAAAAAACCATTGGTGTGCTGTATTCAGGAAACCCATCTCACATACAAAGACACATATAGACTCAAAACAAACGGATGGAAGAAGATTTACCAAGCAAATGGAGAACAAAAAAAAGGAGGGATTGCAATCCTAATCTCTGATAAAATCAACTTCAAACCAACAAAGTTTACGAGAGACAAAGAAAGGCATTACATAATGGTAAAAGGACCAATACAACAAGAAGAGCTAACTATTCTAAATATATACGAACTCAACACAGGAGCTCCCAGATACACAAAGCAAGTTCTTAACATAAAACTAGATTTAGACTCCGAAACATAATAGTGGGAGAATTCAACGCTCCACTGTCAATATTAGACAGATCAACAACACAGAAAATTAACAAGGATATCCAGGACTTGAATGCAGAGCTGGACCAAGTGGATCTAATAGACATATACAGAACGCTCCATCCCAAATCAACAGAATATACATTTTTCTCAGCATCACACTGCACTTACTCTAAAATTGACCACATCACTGGAAGCAAATAACTGATCAGCAAATGCAAAAGAACAAAAATCATAACAGTCTATCAGACTATAGCGCAATCAGACTAGAAGTCAGGATTAAGAAACACACTCAAACCTGCACAACCACTTGGAAACTGAACAACTTGGTTCTGAGTGTCCGCTGGATAAATAATGAAAGGAAGGCAGAAATAAAGATATTCTTTGAAACCAACCAGAATGACGACACAACTTACCAGAATCTCTGGGACACCTTTAAGCAGTGTCGAGAGGGAAATTTATAGCAATAAATGCTCATGTGAGAAACAAGGAAAGATCTAAAATTGACACCCTATCATCAAAATTGAAAGAGCTAGAGGCGGAAGATCAAAAAAACTCAAAAGCTAGCAGAAGACAAAAATAACTAAGATCAGAGCTGAACTGAAGGAGATAGAGACACAAAAAACCCTTCAAAAAATCAATAAATCCAGGAGCTGGTTTTTTGAAAAGATCAACAAAATAGACAGACCAGTAGCCAGATTAATTAAAAAGAAAACAGAGAAGAGTCAAATAAATGCAATAAAAAATGATAAAGGGGATATCACCACTGATATCAAATACAAAATAGAAATACAAAATTGCCATCAGAGATTACTAAAAACAGCTCTATGCACATAAACCAGTAAACCTGGAAGAAATGGATAAATTCACAGACACTTGTACTCTACCAAGACTAAACCAGGAGGAAGTTGAAACCCTGAATAGACCAATAACAAGGGCTGAAGTAGGGGTAGCAATCAATAGCCTACCAAACAAAAAAAGTCCAGGTCCAGACAGGTTCACAGCCAAATTCTACCAGACATACAAGAGGAGCTGGTTCCATTCTTTCTGAAGCAATTGTATTGTATCAAACAATACAAAAGGAGAGAATTCTCCCTAACTCATTTTATGAGACCAACGTCATCCTGATACCAAAACCAGGCAGAAACTCAAGTAAAAAAGAAAACTTTGGGCCAATATCCATGATGCATATCAACGCAAAAATCTTCAATAAAATACTGTTAAACAGATTGCAACAGTAAATCAAGAAGCTTATCCATCACTATCAAGTAGGCTTCATCTTGGGGATGCAAGGCTGGTTCAACATATGCAAATCCATAAATGTAATCCATCACATAAACGGAACCAAAGACAAAAACCACATGATTATCTCAATAGATACAGAGAGGGCCTTCGACAAAATTCAACAGCCCTTCATGCTAAAAACTCTCAATAAACTAGGTATTGATGGAACGTATCATAAAATGATAAAAGCTATATATGACAAACCTACAGCCAATATCATACTGAATGGGCAAAAGCTGGAAGAATTCCCTTTGAACTCAGGCACTAGACAAGGATGCCCTCTCTCACCACTCCTATTCAATAAAGTATTGGAAGTTCTAGCCAGAGCAATCAGGCAAGAACAAGAAATAAAGGGTATTCAGTCAGGAAAGGAGGAAGTCAAACTGTTTCTATTTGCAGATGACATGATTGTGTATCTAGAAGACCCCATCATCTCACCCCAAAATCTCCTCAAACTGATAAGCAACATCAGCAAAGTCACAGGATACAAAATCAATGTGTAGAAATCACAAGCATTTCTATATACCAATAACAGACAAACAGAAAGCCAAACCAAGAGCAAAATACCATTCACAATTGCTACAAAGAGGATAAAATACCTAGGAACACAACTAACAAAGGATGTAAAGGACCTCTTCAAGGACAGCTACAGACCACTGTTCAATAAAATAAGAGAGGACACAACAGATGGAAAAACATTTCAAGCTTATGGTTAGGAAGAATTAATATTGTGA